TCTTATTTCACATGTTACTCCCACAGTAAGGACTTAATTTACATTGGCACGCAGATTTGTTATACATATGAATGTTTTCACATAAAACTGTAATTCAGAAAAAAATGCATAACTCTTTGAGATGACATTCCACCCACTGTAATTGCCATTAATAATGTAGTTATGTTCCATACCTGCCTTACAAGAGAAAACTGTGAAAATGGCCTTTCAGGTCCCCTGGGACAACCTTCAATAGGACAGCAGTAGTATTTCTGTGGCATTTTCAAATCTTTCCTCATTGCAGGATATATTTTTCCATCCTGAAGTGGCACCCATTATTAAAAAGAAACACATATTAAAATTAAGAAACAGCTGGAAAGCAAGCTAGATTTTTGGGTTACATGTAATCCTCGAATTACAACATCTTATTTACTGACCCTTCAGTTACGTTGGCACTGAAAAAAATCACTTATGACTGTTTTTCACACTTATGAAAGAGGAATTATTGACAGCATGTGCTGTGACCTGCCAGCAGCCAGTGGAGTGACAGCTGATTCGGACAGTGAGGAGGTTGGGGAGGAACATGGGCCAGTCCTGAAGGCTGGGAAGGCTCAGACAAGGGCTCTGCGTCGGAGGCAGAGAGGGAACCAAGGCTGTCTGGCAGTTCTTAGCTGCTTTCGGAGCTAGGCAGCAATGAGGCAGAGGAACAGCTGGAGCCTGTTCCCAGTGTGCACATACACAGAGGTGCCAGATAAAAAGAACAGCTAAGAAATCAGGGTCTGCTTGGGAATAAAGCCACAGGTGAACGGTGAATGGCCCCTCCCATAGGAAATAAAAGAGGAGTGAAAGGGGAGGGGGCTTTTGCAGGAATCAATATGTTTGTTCATTTCAGGAGTGTGAAGATCTGTCCATGAATCTCAGAGACTCTGTGCCAAGTCTTTCCTTGCACAGCACCTCATTTGTAAAATATTTACATGGCAGCTTTCCAAGCTTGAAAAGATCTGTGGTCATAAATCCACCTTTGAAAGACTATTTACCAGGCCTTTGCTGAATGTGAATGAGAGCAATTCATATTTGTTTAATAAAATGGGTTTTGTCTGGACCAGGAATCTGCTTTGTGCTTTTTGGGGAAGCCTAGATCAGAAGAGCATGCTAAAATCCAAATTTTGAGAAAGACAAATCTCTGCAGAGGAGGGGCTTGTGGTCTAAATAAAAAAAAAAATCCTATCTGCCAAATCTTCTGAGGATGCCTTAACAAATTTAATTCTTATGCTGCTGTTTGGAAACACATCACATTACCGCGAATGCTATGAACATTCAAGACAGCACACCGTCCTTTTGATCTATGCCCAACACAGTAGTTTTGTTAAGGGGAGCCTAAAATGTTTCAAACAAAATCAAAAAGCCAACCGTAAGAAGAATTAATGCGATGGTCCAAAATAAATACCTTAGCGAGAAAAAGCCCTGGAGGCAGTGTCAGAAGCATAATTCCCAAGTCAACAAAGGCTTTAATATTTTTTCAACTGTTGCACATTTTTGATTCTATTAATACTCTGAAGCAGGATGAAGTCATTACAAACCAAGAAAAAAAACCCAACATGTCTGATGTTACAATCAATTATTGTCCCAGTGGCATTCTTTAGCTGATTGAGAGAGATTTGATAGTGATCGACCGCAGGTGTCAAGGTGCTCTCTAAGAGGCCACTGGAGGATGACAGTGTTGTGGCCTGCTGCGGCCAGCAGAACTGGCAGCAGGTTCGGACAGTGGAAGCCAGATTCACTTAACCCCCCTGTTAACAAACAACTGCAGTGATTCACTTAACAACCGTGGCCGTAAGATGGGGCAAAGCTCAGTTGGACAACTGCATCGCTTAGCAACAGGTTTGGAACTCAAACACGGATCGTAAGCCAAGGACTACCAGCATTTAAAATCCCCTCAAACCACCACCATCATCCTAAGAGGTGGCAAGAGGGTACATCCATTTTCGTCCTTAAATACAAGGAACACTAACACATAAGAACCCATACATAAAAGGCCATATGCTAAACAGATAAACCAGCCCAAATAAACAAATCCATAAGAAACAAAGAGTCTGGGGGGGGGAGGGTCCTCCCTCATTGTTAAAGGTGGGAAGGGGGGAAAAAGTTTTAAGCCACTTTCACTCCGAAGGGAGGGAGATGGTGGTGGCAGGGAAGCCTGGCAAAGACCCTCCCAAAAGACTGACCAGAAGCTGGAAAAGGGGGAGGGGAAGGGAACCTGGCACTCCCAAAAGG